GTGTTGCACATTGTTCAGTTTCTGCATTAACAACAGTATCAGAGCCATTTCCAAGGGGTAGACAGAGGAGGTGAGATCCATTGTACCCAAAGCTTCATAATATGCAGTACAGGCTGTATATTGTCCTCAGTTCCTGTCTCCTAAAAGTCAATTCATACAGTACAACATCTGAAACTTACCAAAAGGTAATTTATAGGCAATATAATACTGTACAGAATGCTCCATTTCACTCATGTGCCTTTGTGCAATGGATGGCGATGTCTGCCTGCCTCTTGGTCCAGGTCTTTGCAATATTTGAATATATCTACATGACATTTTGTGTAAACATTTATATTATGTTCTGGTGATTTCTTGAGTTTTCTTGTGGCACCACCATGATGCTGATATTTTTTGGTTTCCAGAGACGTTGACAGCTATTGGATGATTTACCATAAAATTTGGTACAAATAATCAAAGTTCCTAAACACAGAGGGGTGACAAATGAAAGGAAAACCCAATAATGTCTTGGTAAGGTAGGAAGGTGGACAATGTCGTGCTGCCAGAATAGCTTCAATGCATCTTTGCAATGATTCTAAAAGTCTCTGAAGCAGAAGGATGAACACTATTCTTCCAAAAGATGTTTCCACACTTGGTGGTGTCCATCACATAGGTCCAAAACTTCCCATAGGTGTTCAGCTGAGTTGAGATCTGGTGACTGTGGAGGTCATCATTTTCATTACTCAAACTATTTCAGTGACCCCTCGTGCCCTATAGATGGGGATACTCATCTATAGCTTTTTCCTATAATGTGTCACCTGTCTGTAAATTCCACTAACTTTTTTTGAGTCTTGGCTTTTCTTAGTGCCATCAGCTCAAAAATGTAATTTGTTCAACACTACTGGCTTATAATCAAATACAATAACAAAAAATAAGTGAATCCTTTGGAATTTCCTGCACTTATGGGTCAGATCTTTATCTACTGTGAGTTCCAACAATGAAGAAAAATATATTTGAACCAATATCATACAAGTCATTGTATTGTTCATTCACATCATAGGCTGAAAAAAAAAAGTATGAACCTCTCAGCCAACAATGTCATAACAAAAAAACTCAGGAGTAAAAGTTGGAGCTACTTTTACATATGAAAAGCATTTTACTATTGAAAGGAAGGATTTGTGGATGTGAACTTGTCTCATAAAAGAGACCTCAGAAAATATACAATCAAGAACTGTTGATTAGCACAAAGCTGCGAAGGGTTAAAAAGTTTTCTCAAAGACATTTAGACATTCATCAGAGCACAGTCGGACAAATTCTCTCTAAAGACAATTTAATGGTGTGACTATTCTCCCTAGATGTGGGTACACAGCTATGTCTCAGAAGGCATCATCTCAGTGAGGTAAAAAAGGAAGCCCAGAGTATCAGCTACAGGCTTAAAGGATTCAGCGGAGACAGTTAACGTCTCTGCTGATGAGTCTACCATACAAACGGCACGGCGTCCGTGGCAGGACGCCACGCAGGAAGCCGCTGCTCTCTAAAAAAAGACATCAGTGTGCATCTGAAGTTTGCCAAAGAGCATCTCGTCACTCCACAGTGTTACTGAGAAAATGTTATGTAAACTTATTAAACTCATCTCAAATCCTTTGGGATGAACACTCGGCACAACATTTGGCGTAAAATAGGGCACTACATACGGTACCAGCATGAAAACATCGTCGCGACAGTGAAGTACTTAAGTCTGATCATTCGAGGCTTCAGCCCTGAATATTTTTCATCCTTACAAAAAATTTCTAGTGTTGAAAGGCTGCATCACTTGGAGATGGGGGTATGATCTGGCACTGACTGCACATGAAAGAGCATAAAAGTATTTCCGTAACAGCAGATACTCAGCCAGGAAAAATCCTGGAGGAAAAGAAATGCCTCTTTGTTGTGGCTTCATCAAGAAGATGGTACATAATTAGGCATTTATATTACAACAATAACCAAAATGAAGCTCTTGTCAGAAAGAAAAATGATCATGTTTAACTTAGTGCTGCCTAGCTTGGGCTTCGGTCATCAGGAACTTATTTCTGTAACAGTGCAGGTTGTGTTCTCGGTCTACACTACTGCTCACTGACAAGACTAATGCAAATATGTACATTTTAATAAAAATACTGTATAATAAATTAAATAAAGCAAAATGGAAATTTTATACAATGCATACAAAAATAACTTGATTAAACAGCTCAGGAACCCAATATAAAAAGGAAAACATTTGTCTAGGCAAAGTAACTTCTTGGGCTAACGAAGCTATGCCTCCTGAACTTGACCTTAGCAAACTCATCTATGACCAATTCAGGATCAATACTACTGAGAGAATCCTTTTCTGCTGACAGACGTCTGTCCTGGCCCACACTATGTTAAGCTTTGTGAATTTTACTAAAATCAGACAGCCAGAAACTGAGCCACCAAACAGGACGATAGCAACAAAACAACAAACAAGACACGGAACCTGAAACATTAAAAATAGTCAGATATTGTGAAAAGGCAGAGTGAACAAATAGAGGAAGTACGCAGATTGTTCACTTAAGTAAAAGCAGCAAAACTAAAAAAAATACTCTGTTACAAATCCTGCATTCAAATGTTACTTAAGTACAAATGTATTATCAAAATAAGCATCAAATCAAGCCTAAAGTACTAAAAGTACTTATTGTGCAGAATGGCACATTTCACATTCATGTATATCATATTGTATTTACTGATGCATTATTGTGTACATCACATTTAATGTTGCAGCTGGTAAAGGGGGAGCTAGTTTTAACTAGCTTATATGCTTTTAATTTGAATTACTGCTGGGCAGCTTGTGAATTTCCCACCAGGGATCAGTCTTATAGCCTTACTGTATTTTTGCATTAATCTGATTCTGAAGAGTAACTAAAGTTATAAAATAAGTGTAGTGGAGTAAAAAGTACAAAGTAGCATAAAATGATAATACAAAAGTACAGATATCTCAAAATTGTGCTTACATACATGTACATGGTTACTTTCGACCACTGGAAAATGAAAAGAGGGATTTTGTAAGATATGAACAACAATAAAGCAAAGTGGGCTAACAAATTTGACACAAGAACATAAACACGTTAGACAAAAATAAAATCTATTGATCCTTAACCATTTCTGGAATAGAATATACAGTAATTACACACCAAAGAGGAAACATTCTCAGACATAAAATTAAAGTATTGTTTTTGTTTGATGCCAGGTCATCTGCTACATCTCTTGCAGTGAACAAGCCTTCCTGACCCACTCTGATAGTGGGAGTTCCTGATGATAACCAGACATTGTATTGTATATACAAACATCCTCCACGAGTAGAACACACTAATCCACAAGCTAAAATCCCCGCTGACCAGATGTTGCAGCTTACAGGGACAGACCGGGTAAAATTTAATGGCTATCACATGCTTCCTAATGAGGGGACTGAGCAGGGCACGCTCCAACAGCGTCTGGGAGGTCGTCCATGTCGCTCGAATCAAATCCCAGCCTAATTTATCCTGTCACACTTCTGTCTTGCCTCTCGTTTCGGTCTACCTGCAGGGAAAAACACCCACAGAACTGCTATTGAAAACTGGAATACAAACTTATGAGAAAGAGCAAAAAGGAAGGAGGCAGTACAGAAGAAATGGGAAGAAAACTAAAAGATGGCTGCAGAAATACAGAAGAAAACTGAAAACCCTATTTTCATTTTATTTAGGGCCTCCTTTGGTAAACACAAAGCAGCTTGAAGTTTTAAGGAAAAAATGGATTTTACACACAAAAACCTGTTTTTGTGGAATTCCTCTTAAATTTAGCAGTAAAAATATCAAAAGGCTCATGTCATATGTGAATTATTGATTTTAAATAACTTCAAATAGAGAAAAAAAATCTTTAATTGATTTCTGTTACACAAAGACCTGCCTCTTCTGTGCTCCTCTAACTCCACATCCTGGGAGGAATGTGAGCTGTACACACACGAAACAGGGTCAGCTAAACGTTTAACTGTCCCTCAGGGTCATTTTCCATATGACTGCTGTCCAAGTAACAACAACAGATCTGATTCTCTGCACCTAGCTCTGCCAGCTGCAAATATACACACACACACACACACACACACACACACTGTGGTTATAGGATTCAGAAAAAAGCTGTAGGATCAATTTTGTTGATACAAGCTGAATTTTCCCAGTCTGTCGAAATAACAGCACCCGACTCCTACTATCACTAAATCACCTGGTCTTGATCACATGATAAGAGAAGATTAACAGTCAGTGAAACTTTGAATCTGGAGCCAATACACTGACTGTATAAACAGATGCTAGAGGAGAGTGTCAGAACATCAAAACACAGCTGTTACATTATGACACATACAACTATGAGACTATATTAACATACAGTAAGACTGCGTCCAGATTTGTAACGTCTGTCACCGAAAACATTGCCCAAACCAGACAACAACCCACTTTGTGATGAGGCTCGCTCTGATTACATCAGGGTTGCTAAGGTGAGGTTGATTGTGAAGCACAGTGAAGCATTATATACTGCCTGGTACATTACGCAGAAAATTATCACAGCTTGAAGCACATTGTTACAGCACATTTATTGAACTTCGCCTATAAAGCTTGGTAGCATTGGGAGCAGTGTTGTGAGTATTGCAGATGCCACGCTGCCAGGATGAAATGATATGGACGTGATATGATCGTGATGTACTGTGATTGGACCGAGCCTGCACATCAAAGAGAGAAGACAGATGGAGAAATGAGCTGGAAACAAGGGAGGGATATGGAGATAGAGGAGGTCAGAGAGGTGAGGCTGGAGGGAAAGAAGGGGAGGAGAGTGATGAAGGGAACAGACAGGAGGAAGGTAGCTTGCCAAGGTGGTAAATGGAGGAAGGTTTAAAGGCAAAGAAAGGTCAGATGGAGGGGAGCAACTTAGAAGGAGGGGACTGGAGTGAGATGGGAAGGTGAGAAGCAGAGAGAGAAGATCAGAGAAGAGAAGATGGTGCTTACCTTGACCCTGTGCCTTACTGGGGAAATTGGAAACTAGGGCCAGTAACACCAGTGGAGCCCAAAAGCACCACCTGACCTGCCCTGCTGAGAACATCCTTATAACCAGCAGTCTAGACCTGCACAGAAAGCAAAAGAGACTGCGCTGAAAACAAAGAAGAAAAATCTGAGCAAAGTGGAGAAAACTGAGAAAGAAAAAGGCAGAGAGAGGCAGAAGTAAATGGCCATTTCTGTGACAGAAAGAATGCCATTCAGCTGCACAGAGCAGCTGTGGGTCAAGCTGTCCCACCTTGCACACACAGCCCTAAGGCACGGATCTAGAATCAGTTCCTGCTGTCTAATATCCACTTTGATACAATTAGAGAGCAGCAGCCTGACAGTCTAGACTGACCACAGAGCAGCAGGCGAGACTCCCGCCTACACAGAGCGGGCCGAGGGCCAAACAGTGGAGGACTTTGTTTGAGAGAAGAGAAGAGAATTAACAAAAAGGCTGACAGATAAAGAATGGAGGGCAGACAGAGTGACAGACAAGCAGATGAAAGTTTGACTGACAGTCCATACCAGGAACATTTGGTGAGTGCCATCATCCAGCTAGGAGAGCCAACGCAACAGCTCCTCTCCTCTTCTCCCATCATCTTTTTTTGCCTTTCACCCCTCACTTTCTGTTCTCTGCACCTTCTCCACACCCTCTCCTTCTCATCCCCTCCTTATCACCTGCTCTCCAGCCTGCCACTCACAGTTACACACACAGCTTGACACAGACATCTTATCATTTTTCTCATGGGGAAACACACATACACACCTCATGGAGAATCCCATGAATAAAACAGCACGTGAAACCAAAGTTGTTTCAAGCTGGACTCTTTTGTTGCTGTGGAGGTAACCCCATGGAACTGAAAGAACAAGCAGTTCCTCCAATTCAGACACTGTCATAAGGCCAGAAAAATGACAATGTGTGCAAATAAATATAGAATACTCTAGGAAATAGGATTGATCCCCCCACATTCATTTGCCTCAGGACACGAGATGAGAAATGAAAAAGGATTAAACTAATTATTTTCACTCCTTGTCTCTGTCTAACACTCATGCACTGATACAAATACAAGCACGCTCTCAACACACACAAATGAAAGTTCACCCAATAACTTGAGACTAGACAGTCTCTCTCTCTCTCCTCATGGGATTCTTAAGATACAGCATAACTCGCGTTAAACAAAACAAAACAAAATCTAAAAATTCCACCTGGCGCAATTTCCTTTTCTCGCAAACCAAAGGGCAACTTTGCACTGGTTAATTGGTTAATGATAATGACGCCGCCCTCATTAAAATTAAGCATTATTCGCTGAATGTACATGCTTTTAGGCTATTTGTGGAAACAGTTTGCACACGTGTTCAAATGCAATTGAACTACAGGACCGCAAACGACCCTGGCAGCACGTTTCAACCAAGACTGCTTATAAAGGTTATGGAAAAACATTATTTCATGATGTGAAACAGGTCTGGACCCAAATAAAAAGCTACATGTTTCGTTTTCGCTTTACCTGTGGGACTGCACAAGTTTGATTCACAGACTGCAAGCAAAGATTTGTCTTCAGTGATTATTTCAGTGTTCTGCTGACCGGCGTGAATTACGTTCCTCACCCAGATTTGGGTCAAACTATCTGCTTTAATCAACCAGCGCCGCGCACCTGAGCCTGATTCAATCGAACACACACACTGAATGAAATCCTTTCATACCTCTCCAGTCATCAATTCACAGCGTCCTTTTATCCCCCAAAGGAAATCCTCAGAATACCAGAATACTGCTGCTTCTGCCTCCCCAAGGATCCCTCTTTCTTCTTACTCCTCTTCCTCTCACTCCTTCTCTCCGGATACAGTTCGGTCACTCCAGAGTGGGTGTTTCTCTCCTCGTTATTCAGCCATCCCTCCCTCCAGCGATTCCTCCCTGTCCCAGCCCTTTCCTCCTTCGCCCTGGTTCATCAGGGCTCGCTCTCTCTCTCAGAGAGAGAGAAAGAGAAAGAGAGATGTCAAAATGCGACCCACTGCCGCTGCGCAAAAGCCTCCCGCTGCCAAGCTGGAGAGTTCAGTTCGGCTTCAGCCCCTTGGGGGTCCTTGATATGCGCACTGGGTTTGTCGTGAGGGCCATAC